GGGGCATTATAATGGTGATACGATGAGATGTCACTCTAAGGATTTACTGATTAATATTAAATAAACTGTGATACTTACAGAGGAAATAACCATTTCCGTAGCTTTGCTATCCATCCTTCTTCTCGTTCTCCAATCCCAAGAGTACAATTACACAGGTAAAGTGACTGCTTACTACAACAGTTCTTTACACAGAATGAAAGAGCAATTTCATCCATTGTTGTAAGCCTGATGTGTTCCAATCTAATTTCTTGGAAATTATCCATTGCGCTTTTCGCAAACTCTTCTTCCTGACTCTCATACAAACAATGAAACAACTCAAACTGGTCACGTAGTTCCCCATAGGTCTTGTAAGGCAGAAGGGAGATGTTTTTAGCTTCTGCTTCAAACCACTTCAACAAATCCAGCTTTATTTTAGATGTTTTACAATGTAATTTTTTCTCCATGTCATTTAGTCTCTCTTTATTTAAGAGACCAAACAAGAAACGTACTGTTAACATCAAATAATTATTTTTAGATGGTCCATAAATTTTTAGCAAGTTGTTCACATCTTTCTTAGAAGACAAAGATTTTGTCATTGTCCCTTTATCTTCCTCTAGCACATAGAAGAGAGCTGCAAAAAACTCTTGGAAACTCAAGTGAATGAAGCTGTAGACACTTTCACATTCTGTATCTTTCTGAAAAATATTTTTATTCAGAAAGAGAGACTGAATGTTAGACAAGGATAAATTGTGTTTCTTCAGGTCACCTTCTTCAAACAGTATTTTTCGTTCTAAAATTCCATCTGCAGCCAACGAGCAAAGGTTCCACAGAGTAGTTTTAGGCTGTTGTATTGAGTCAGCAAAATGATCAGTTAGCAGAGTGGACAGAAAGAGCAAATATACCGAGGTGGTTGTTTTTGAAGTTTGTGAAAGATCTTCCCTTTTTTCCATCTGTTGCTTCATAACTGTGCAGATGATCCAACACACAATGGGGACAAAGCACATGTGAAGAGCATTCATTT